AATTCCCCAGCCAGCTTTGCTAGTTAGGGAATTCTGGGAGTTGAAGTTCACACATCTTAAAGTTCCCAAGGTTGAGAAACACTGCTCTATATTATAAATTCCCCCCAAGAAGGGCAGAAACTGTGTGCCTGTTGTTAAGTTGAGGCTATCCCCCAATCATCTGCATCAAAGGTTAACCTATGCCAGAAAACTCAAACTGTTTGTCTAACAGCACTCTTCTTGACCAATCCACCAAAGAAAGCCCCACTCAGATTTCCAAGCAGTTGTAAAATGAGGCAGGTTTCCTTTCTGGTTACAAAAGAGGAAGCTTGCCTCTGGCCACAGACCTTCTAGATTTATCATGCAAAGACAATGACCGTCAGAAAAAGAGGGGCCAACGCTTTGCAGACTGTGCTTGGAGGTTTGATTCTCCTCTCCTTCTGCACTGCTGCTTCTTCTCACCAACACATAGTGCAAACAAAGCAGGGATCTCCCAGCCAAAAGATCTTTGGAAAACCTGAGCTGCTAGGCTGGGAAGGGGCCTTGCATCCTGGCAGAATGCAAGGAGTTGGGGGGCCTCTTGGGTATTATCCAAGCTGGAAGACTGGTGGCCCTGTTTTTCCCATTTGGGGCTCCATCTGGATTCCAGTTTGCTTTGGTTGAAGAGCCCCAACACTGATTGCAAAGATTGCCCTCACTAAACCCTGCATGCCAGCCAATCAGCTTGACCATTTTATGAACTGGACCTGAGGTGGGGAAATCAGCACTCCCATGAGTTGACTTTTGCCAAATGCATTGTACTCCAACTCCCAAGTTTGCTGGGTGATTAAGGGAGCTGAAGACCAGCCCAGACAATGGACACCAGGTTGAGGGTGGTAGCCTTGAGTTGCCCAGATACGTATGTGCCTCTTCCAAGCTTCTTTCTGCACTGGGACATGATCTAGGAGTAAATGCTCTGCACCTGGAATAAGCTAAAGAGAGTTTCAGAAACGGGATGTTCCTTTTTAAGAAGGAAGTTGCAGGTGGGAGGGCTCTGCTGTGTTGGAATAAAAGGCACTTTCTCTGGAGAGTCACCCCAAGCTACTCCAAGAGCTGCTCAGCACCCAAGAGTGAATGGGACCCCTCCCCTCCAGTTGGCCAGGAACAGCCAACAACCCCTGGGATGCTCCTGCATCCCTTCTCTAGAAGCAGTGAGGGATGGTAGAACCCACAGAAGCCACCGTGAGCCACATGTAGCACAGCAGGGTGGAGGTAGCCCCACTGTGGCCAACACTATCCAAGAAATGGGCTTGCCCTGGTGGGATGGTCTTCATTGCAACTACCCTGCAGACCTTCATGGCCATCACCCTGGCCTTTGGTCAGGCCGAGGGAGAAGGGCTTAGAGCTGATGTGGGTCTGAAACACTGCAGGAAGCAGGAAGGCACAAGGGCGAGAGTGAGGTGGCCATCGGGGAGGCTGGTGTTAAGAACAGACGCTCTGCTGTGTGTCAGAACGCTTCACCCCTGTAGGCCAGAGTTATGGTTAGGGTCCAAGATGTTCTCCACTAACTGTCCCATCCCAAGACCCTCCAGTATCTCTTGGATGAGCCCTTCCTCTTTCTTGTCCTCTACACACAGACACACGCGCGCAAGAAAAGATGGTCCATTCCTGGACCTGGGAGACAGAAGCAACGTTCATACAGTCCCAGAGACATCTCCCAAACATTATGAAGGGATGGGGGAGCAAAAGTCAGCTAATTCCACTTTCTGATTTTCTTTCACCTCAGGAAAATGAAACTGGTATTTTGGCTTTGCTTACTGAAAAGAAATCAGATTTCAGCAGTGGAACATGAGAAATAAACATGAAAGGCCGGGAGGTCACTCCTTTTGCGCAGGTTGAAAAGGGAGCCACAGCAGCCTCCTACGTTTGCCGAGCACATTTACTCGCTCAGATGTTGCTTGGATAAAGCATTTCATAGCTGTTGCCTTCCATCCCATATCCCCTACCTCAGTGTCTTTTTTTCCTAAGGATATGGAAGTTGGGGACAAGCATTCAGGGCAGAGGAAACTTCATGGGGAAGTTTATTTTCACCACAACTGCTGGCCTTCTCCCATTGATGGCCTAAGGAAGAGAACTGAGCTCCCTCCTTTGGAAAAACTTCTGGGAACCTGGTGGAGAATGCCCCAGATCCAGCCAAAGTCTATCACTTGAGGTCCCGTGAGGAATAGGTTGTGGCCAGGGTCTCCACCGAACCCGAGTGCGACCCACCTTCTCTAACACCAAAGCACCGAGTGCAAGAAGAGGTGTTGGACAGGGGGTGGGTGGCGAAGGCCAACTCCAGGATCCGGGGCACCACCCTTCTTGCTGCCATGACCCAGCTGGGGAGCTGTGAGGCTCAAGGAGGGTCTGGTAACTTTTGCACACACACCCCTCACTTAAAGAGGGGCAAGGAAAGCGCTCTGGTTCTGCATCACACTGTACAAAACTCTGCCGGACAAGGAGAACAAGGTGACCGGAACAAAACTCCTCCTGGCACTCCAGCTCCCATTTCAACAAAGCATAACCAGGCTGTTTGTTGGGCACGGGGAGAGGAACTGGGTGGGGGGCATGGCTCGGCCCCTTTGGCAGTGACTGTGCTGCAACAAGGAAGGGAAAAGGAAGGGGCTCTTCCAAAACTCTAGGCCAGCCCGCAGGTCTCTGAGCCTCACCAACAGCCTGGTCTATGCCTTCCAGAGACACCACCCCCTTTGGGTTCCCAGTGGTGAATCTGATGGCTCCCCCCCTCCTCAGGAGCATCCGGACTAACCAACTTCATGGGAGGCACGTTCATTTTCCCTGCAACGCCAGTCCTTATGATCTGCACCCTGTAACACTCATTCCCTCCCACCCTCCGGCTGGTCTGAAAAGGATTCAGTTGCCGTCTTGGACATTCGCCCCCCTTACCAATTCAAACATTCCCTCAGCTGCCCGAACCAGGTAGCAAGCCCCCATTTCCACAGAACAGACTTAATCTGGGGGGTGGGCAGGCCTCCCGGCTTTTCTACCTTTGTTCACAGTTCCCCCGAATGGTGCCAGGCTGTCGGTTAACGCAAACTTTCCTGATGAAGTCCTGGCCAGGAGGCCTCCACAAGGGGGCTGCTAAGGGTCAACCTCATTTGGTCCACAGCAGACACCCCAAGGGATTCCTGGGCAATGTCAGATGCCCAAGTTGGCACAGCCGAGATGGCAAGGTCAGTGCCCCGCAGCTCTCTCTTCAGGTGCTTAACAAGGTGGTTTCTTCTGCTGCATCAAAAATGGTTCTCACTGACTGACTTTGGGATACGGGAGAAGATCCAGGGTGACGGGTGTCCAACTCCATTCCGATCCTGTTGGCACTGGGGCTATAGCACTGCCTCCATGAAGCCTGTGTCCAGGTGCTGGATTAGCACCCGGATGAAGGACATTTCCTTGCGGGTGTTTTCAAATATAATCCGTGGGTCGTCCGACTGGCAGCGCAGACAGTTGGGGGCCATCACCATGGCAAGGTTGTTGACGTCCATCTTGGTGACTGCCACATTACCCGGCTGCACAAACACCTGACAGGAGGGAAGAAGGGAAGAGGTGTTACTCCGTTGGCCACAACCCACCAGCAGAGAAAACGTTACCCAAGAATCCTGAGACCCATGATGTGGAGCAGGGGTGGGGGAGAAGGTGCACCTTCCTGTTTGGTAGAGCTAGAACCTGACAGAGGCATCTAATGATGCTGAAGGCAGATCCAGGACAGCCAAAAAGAAAAAGGCCATCACGTAACGTCATTGTGTCTTACAGGATGAGACTAAGATTGCTCCACCTTACCCAACAATGCCCAGAAGGTGCTATGTGGCCCTGTCTTCAGCCTCTAGACAGAGGACTGCCCTTCTTGCACCCTCCTTTGCCTGATGCCTGCTGACAAACTTGCACCCTAAACAGCTACTTTCCCATAGAAGTTGGCAAACCAGTGGCCCTGCTGCTATGTCACCATGAGAGGGCAGCCACTGGCCTTCCAAATTCAAATTAAAATCATCATCATCATCATCACCACCACCACCAACAACTCCACAAAATAATAAAAATGGGCCATATCTCAAGATATGGATGCATTAATTTGTGTTTTCATATGGTATCTCCTGACCCAATATTTTTAATTTTTAATTTGGTTCATTTTTAAAATTGGCACCAGAGATAATTATATGAAATCTTGTGACGGTGCTTTTCACCTGATAAGGCTGAGAACGTGTATAGTCCTGGGACCCTCCTTGCCCAGCTCTGTGAAGCCAACCATCTGCCCCCGTTCTTTTTGCTTTCTCTTTCCCTCTCCCCTCCCTCAGTCCTGTACCTTTTTTCTCTGCTAAGTACTTGGGAGAGAAAAGGAACCCCTTGGTGTTGCCCAGGAACTCTTCAAAGGGTTGATGTCCATCATTGGGGAGATAAGACATCTCCTTCTGAAAATGATACACATGCCTACGTACTGCAGGGTGGGGAGAAAAACTATTTGGGGTCTTTCTGTTCTGAGGGGCAGAGAGTGGTGGAGATGTTCTGTCAACTTCTCAAGGCATCCTTCATCCTTCCTACAGGACCCCACATGCCCTAGCCCACCACACATTGTGTATGTGGAGAAAGCTGGACCACCCTCATTCCCCTAGTGATGGGCTAGCAGGAGGTATGCTTTTGATCTTTCATGCTCGCTTGCTGTAGGTGTGCATTCTCAGCCAAAGTGTGGCTGAAGGGATGAGCACCACCTTCCCTGAGCTGGACTCTGGAGCTGCCTTACCTGGAGGAAACGGATGAGGTAGCAAAGCACCATCTTGTTGATCCTGGGCAGGGAGTGGACGACAGCGATCGCAGCTTCAGGATTCTCATAGTGTGTGATGCACTGTTCATAAAAATCGTGGGGTATCAGAGGCTCCTCCAGTTCCCGATACCAGAGCTTCAGCAAAGAGGCTGCAGAGAGAAAGGAGAGGAATTAGAAAGGCCCCAGAAGAGGAAGGGAGATCTTCCAGGAAGATTCAGCTTCTGGCCTCTCAGATTTTCACATCTCCTCCCCTTCCTCCTGAGGGTCATCCCCATAAAATGTTTCTCCTACCAGCTATCAAACATGAAGGGTCTGGTTCATCTCTATTTAACTGAGTAATTATAACCATGGGGACTGTGTATTGTGTGAACCCCTTAGCTTAGACAGTACTGGAGCAGGAGAGGGGCAATTTGAACCCAAAACTGCCAGGACAATTGCAAAGCAAATCACCCTTTCCCAGCTAGACGTGTTGTTCAACCCCATTCCAGTCAGCCACAGGACAGTGTCCAAGCCCTGCCCAGTCAGCCTTACAAGGAAAAAACTGAAATTGACAAATATTTCCCAGCCAAATCACCTGCAGGGTGTATTCAATCGCCCTAGGGACTAAATAAGAGGGCCATGCCTTTTTGTAACTTTTAGCCTTCTAGTTGATAAGCCAGAACAAAAAATGTCCCCATTATTCAAGTGAGACAAAACCCAAAACTGGCTTTTCCATCACTGCCCAGGCAGAGGCCCAAAAAGCAGGGCAGATCCAGCTGGAGGAGAAAGAACGGGATGTCCAGCAGAGAATGCCCTTCCACAGCTGTTACCCTCACCAGGAACATGGGGATCTTCCAAGCCAGTGGGGATTTTCCACTGATCAACCTGCAGTTTGAGGGCGTTGACTTCATCAATGTCTCCAGGGACTCTGCAGAACAGAAGAAAGGAATTCCTCAAAGAAATGAGGGCATGTTTGGCCAGTGTCTAACTTCTCCCAGCAAGTGAGACATCCCAGCCAGTCTTCTTCACACCCTGTGTCCTAAGGCCACCAGAAATGTGAGTTTCACTGCATTATATATTAGTCAAAGCTACATTTTGTATTTCAAGGGAAGCCCCACTGGCCCCACTTGGAGCTTCTCTTGAAATAGCATCTCTGGGGAGACACAATTCTTTGAGGCTTAGAGAGAAAGAGGTCAAGTTTCATTTCTCTGTCTCTCGTGACTAATGAAGAAATGGCACATTTATTGCACTCATATCATTAACGTCATTTTTAGTTTCACTCATACATGGATACGTAGGACCTAAAAATTGTGATAGGCCAAATGTTTAGATGACAACCCAGAAAGAACATATTTGAGTGGCTAAAAAAATACAAGCCTTATCTTCATCTCATTTTCTTCCCATATAATACAAATGGCCCGAGTTCTTGGTCCACAAAGCAGTATGTCCACCACCATTCACACCTTTAGACTGATTGATTAATTGATTGATTTCTTAGATTTTAAGGCCACCAGACTCCAAAACGATTCTGGGCAGCTAACAATTTTAAAAGGATATATAACATAAAAGGAAAAACATGAACGCCCAGACAGACCTACACAAATAACAACCAAAAGACTGCCAGGGCTCCACACTCTAAACCCCAAGAATGAGAACACATTTGAAGGATGTTGTTCTAGATCAGTGTTTCTCAACCTTGGTCACTCTAAGATGCGTGGACTTCAACTCCCAGAATTCCCCAGCCAGCATGGCTGGC